TATTGCCAGGTTTCCAAGACAAGACTAGCAATGAGGGTCTTACTTTCTAACCACTTTCTAACCAGGTGGTTTACCCTAAAGATCTGTGCAGAACTAAATAAAATTTTCAGAGATTTTAACAGAGAGGATTTTCATTCGAGATGGATAAAAATCTGATCGCTCAAAGCACTTCACTAGGGGGTCTGAGATGCATTCCAGATGGAGAGGTCTAAATGCATCTGGTTGTTAAAAAACAACATACTGTATGCAAATTTTAACTCCTCCCAAAATGAAAATAATAATAATAATAATAATAATAATAATAATTATATATATATATATATATATATATATATATATATATATATATATATATATATATATATATATATATATATATATATAGTTCAGATGCAAAACCCTCTAAATCCATCAGACCTCTTTTCTTGTAAATGAGCATTTTCTATTAGCCTCCTCTGTTTTGTTTAGATTTATTTAACATGTAATGATGAGGTTATTAGCTGGTAAATAAAATACCTTTTTTCAAAAATGTCACTTTAGACATTTCTTTGTTTTTTAACAAAGTAAATTTTCTTTTGCGTCAACACCAGCTAAATCCAAGTATGCTTTTTATGCAAAACCCTCTGAATCCACCTTTTGAGACAAGACAGTGTATTCAGTTGAAAATCACTTAAGACGCAATTAGAAATTATTTTACCAAACATAAAACACACACACAAACCACCTAAAATTAAAATATATAAATCTGTCAAGTACAGCAAGCGGTGGTTCATTCCGCTGTGATAGACCAGGGAAAAAGCAGAAGGAAAATGAATCAATGAAATCTGTCAAGTAAGTGCATTAATTAATAACATTAAAACTGGCATTAATTAAATCTTAACAATATGTTGTCACTTCTGATATTTGGGATTTAGATTTAATGCAAGTAGAACAATGTAAACATTGCAAACATGGTAAACTAAGCTTGGTAGATTCAAATAATGGAGTGTAAAAACATTGTGAAACAAACTGTTATTCCTGAATGCGCAGACGCTGCGATTTGGATGTTTAGAAGCAAATCTTTATGTTGACGGTGTACTACTGTATGTGCCTAAAGCATTTACGCAATGTCATTATCTCGTTTTTTGGTGGAAAAGGCGTTTAGCGGCTTTTGTATCTGAGCCCTTCACACTCACTCGCACACGCACCGGAAGCGATACAATATTATATTTATGCATATACATTAGATTAGTCAGTACTGAAGCCAAATCTGGAGCTTATCTAACAAAATAACTTACAATGACAGTCCATAAACTAGTACATCCAAATCTAACTGTTATAGAAAAATATTAAATACAAATGTAAAAATCAAGAGAAGCAAAAAAAATGAAAAATGAAAAATTTTGTAGGTTGTCTTTTTTTTTTTTTTGCAGTATCTTGCTTGAATTTAATTGTATTGTCTTTCTATTTCTAAATTTGTGCGACTAAAATATTATTTTAATAAATATATTTGTTTAATAAATCTTTTTGTTTAAATGCACAAAAAAAAAAACCTTTTAAAAAGGTACCACCCCAGTGACAGCACGTGTATCTTTATTTTTGAGAGTGTATGGCCTACTATATAACCACCCTGTCTTTATGCTTTAGTTGAGATTTTGTCGCATAGAATAAAGATGCACATTTCAAAGCGCTTCCCAGGATCTTTGGGTACTGCTGCTTTAAAAACGTTGTGAAGTGAATGAAAATCCTTAAAAAATTGTGAATGAGGCACAATATTTGCATACACTAGCTCTAATTGCAGGGGAAAATAGCCTATTTTGAGCTTTTTGTCTTGCTATTTTAATCTTCAGGGTTTTTCTTTCCACAGGTTGCGATGTGGTAAATGAAAACAGCAATTAAATGATGTGCTGACGTCTCATAATTAATCATAAGACTGTTTGCTCTTATCCTGTGAGAAGACACTTTGGTTAATTATTCACATCAACACAAGCTGATTTCCTATTTCTGACACTTTAAACTGTAAGACCGCCTAGAGATGTATTCATGGATCGAAAATGAGTGTTTGTTTTTTTTCTTTGTAAGAGTTTATTTTCCCCAAACACCCCAAGTCCTTGAAAATGTGCAAACAGACTTCACATCTCTTTGACATGATCTATCAAGTGGCTTAGCATTCATTCATTCATTTTCCTTCGGCTTAGTCTCTGTTTCAGAGATTAACACAGTGGAATGAACCGCTAACTGTTCCGGCATACGTTTTACGCAGCGGATGCCCTTCCAGCCGCAACCCAGTATTGAGAAACACCCATACACACAGACTCATACACTAAAGACAATTCAGTTTATTTAATTTACCTTTGTGCCTTTGCACTGTGGGGGGAAACCAGAGAACCCTACATATATGTTGCAAAATAATATATAGATGTTATTAAAGATAGAAATACATATGCAAACAGCTGTGCATTTATGTGCATTCAATTTAAGCTGTCACAGGGTGTGTATCTTACAAATAAATAGGTGCACAAATAAAAATATGCTCATTTGTTGAGGGTTTTTGTAGGAAGCTTTGATGCTAATTGGGAAAGTTCACCCAAAAATCTAAATTGTCAATATTTACTCACTCAAAACCAGTTTAAATTTTTTTTCATATATTGAAGGAAGTTGAAATAGTATTTGTCTTTTCTACTATAGAAGTGAATGTGTTTTGACCTTTTGCCTAAGGCAGCAGAAGTATGGTTTTCGAATGCACTTCACGCTTTTCAACCTAAGAGGACCCTCACTAATTTTTTTCAGAGCGTCCTAAGTTGCTAGGGGTGCCCCTCCTTAAGGATATATATAATCTAGTGTGCTCCAAAACATTGATACACTTCAAATAAAAGGTCACTTCAGTTTCTCGTCAAATCTTCTGACCAATCTTTCTGGTATCTGACATGTCCCGCCCCTTCATTTGCTTTTTTTATTTGATTGGCTTGAGCTCAGTCACACTCACTGGCAGAGCTGTGCTAAAAAGAAACGCTTAAAAAAAATTATAATGGGAGGAGCTACTATATGCCCCGCCCTGTCTTAATGTTTCAGTTGAAATTTGTCAAACATCAAATAAAAAAAAAAAACTGCACATTATAATGCACTTCATGGGACCTTTAAGAACTGAAACTATCATGAAATTAATGGTGAATATCTAATTATTTATTATTATTAATATTATTATTAATTAATTCATTCATTCATTTTCATCTGCTTTTCAGGGGCCCAAGTCGCGGGGACAGCAGCCTTAGAAGAGAATCCCAAACCTCCCTCTCCCCAGACACTTCCTCCAGCTCTTCTGGTGGTGATCCCGAGGTGTTTCCAGGCCAGCCAAGAGACATATTCCCTCCAGCGTGTCCTAGGTCTTCCCCAAGGTCTCCTCCCGGTGGGACATGCCTGGAACACCTCCCTACATAGGCATCCAGGAAGCATCCGAAACAGATGCCCGAACCACCTCAGCTGACTTCTCTTGATGTGGAAGGGTGGGTCCAAAAGAAACCCATTTCAGCCAAGATCTTGTCCTTTTGGTCATGACGCAAAGCTCATGACAATAGGTGAGAGTAGAAACATAGATTGACCGCTAAATCGAGAGCTTTGCCTTTCCGCCTAGCTCCTTCTTTACCACAACGGACCGGTACATCAACAGTATTACTGCTACAACTGCACCAACCCACCTGTCAATCTTACTCATTACTCACCATCCTTCCCTCACTTGTGAACAAAACCCAAAGAAACTTGAACTCCTCCACCTGGGGTAAGGACTTTCCTACAACCTGAATATGGCATTCCACCTTTTTACGGGCACAACCCAATCGTTGGGTACAGGGACTGGCTCTTGGGACATTCATTCATTCATTTATTCATTTTCTTGTCGGCTTAGTCCCTTCATTAATCCGGGGTCGCCACAGCAGAATGAACCGTCAACTCATCCAGCAAGTTTTTTTACGCAGCGGATGCCCTTCCAGCCGCAACCCATCCCTGGGAAACATCCACACACACATTAACACACACTTATACACTACGGACAATTTAGCCTACCCAACTCACCTGTACCACATGTCTTTGGACTGTGGGGGAAACCGGAGCACCCAGAGGAAACCCACGCGAAGGCAGGGAGAACATGCAAACTCCACACAGAATCGCCAACTGAGCCAAGGTTCGAACCAGCAACCTTCTTGCTGTGAGGCGACAGCACTACCTACTGCTATTGTTATTTTTATTATTAATTATTGGTGAATATCTTACCTCCATTTGCTTTCATTAGATTCTCTTGGTTGTTAAACCGGTAATTTACCAACAAAAGTACATCAAAACTAAAGTAAAAATTATATCAAACTAAATTTGTTATAAAACAATAATCTATCACTGTACAATACAAGTGGTCAATCAATTGTGTGACTGATCCAGTTCCGTTCTTCAGGCTTACTGCTGTTCCATTTTCCATGCTTTTATGACATTCACATTCAAATAAACTAAACTAAACAAACAAAACTAAAAAGCTAAAAAAAATAAAAAACACCAAAAATGTATGTAAAAATAAATGCACTTTCAAGAAATAGCTACAACACAATGTTAACAGTTTTCCCACATTCTTCAAAATATCATCTTTTGCAAAACAAAAAAATTCCAAACTGGTTTGAAACAAGTCAAGGATTTTTTAAATTATATGTATCTCATTATGTAATAGTCATTTAGTTTTCCTTTTTTTGTAACTCTCTTTTTCAGTCATTATAGAAGTCTACCGGCATGGGGGGGGGGGCGGAGGTGGGGTAGATATTTGGGGTTGTTTAAGATATAATCCTATGCTGTATTCTCTCTATTGAACAAAATTTGCAATATTAAAAGCAATTGTTCACAAAAACAATTAGTAAATTACAACATTTTGTTTCTTTCTTTTAAATTTTTGGGTATACTATCCCTTTAAGATGCTTTGAAGGGCCAATTTTGGCTTCACTCCTTGAAACAAGTTGTCATGAAGTGGCTTGAGCCGTAATACTCACAAAGGCAGATGGCAGGTAGAGGACCCCCAGTTCATAGGAGCGGACCATAATCTGAGTGTTGTTCTTCTCCAGGGCGCCCCAGGCAGCTTTTGATAAATTGGCACTGTGGAGGACACCAGCAGAGGAATATCACCCATGTTTCAAAGTCAAACATATCATGTAAATGTCCCCTCAATGAAAAGCATTAGCATTAAGCAAAAGCTGAAGGATATTGTTGAGAAGCTTTTAACATGCTGCAATTACTGAATAATTTATGCTTTTTGCACTTAGAATTATAAGTCTGACAGGTTCTGGCTGAAGGCTCTGCATCCACTGCAGGCTTTAATCTTCATAAAAAGGACTATGAATAACTCAGCGCTGGACCAGCACGACTGACCTAGAGACACTCTTCACAATCCTCCTCGGTCTCCATGTGTACTGTATTTCCACCACGATTAAAGTGTGCGCTTGGAGAAATACTGCAGAAACAGCAGCCATTCATGCTGGCTTATGACAAATAATGTGGGCTTCAATGCAACAACGCGAGTTAAAAGATGTGAACACAGAAATGAGTCCTCTTCAAATATAGATTTTAAAGCTAGAAAAATCTTCTCAAAAGTTGTTGGTTTTCTAGGGCAGCACAGTTAAAATACAAGCTTGAAATGCAAGCTGAATTAAAGAGACAGTTCACACAGAAAAATAACATTTACTCACTACAGGCTATCTGCAGGTTTCTAAGAGATATATTTAGACTTTTAAAGACCTTTTTAATACTACACGTAATAAAATTTAAGACAAATTTTATAGTACAGAATTTGCACAACTAATGACATACTTAACACTGTTAATTATACATATATAGCATGAAAAACCTCAAAACATGAATAAAATAACAGCAACAACAATAATATTCATACATTTTTCTTTGGCTTAGTCTTCATTTCAGATGTTGCCTCAGCAGAATGAACTGCCAACTATTAAAGCATTTGTTTTACTCAGCAGATGCCCTTCCAGCCGCAACCCAGTACTGGGAAACACTCATACACACTCATTCACACACACACTCATACATTATGGCCAATTTAGTTTATTCAATTCAAATGTCTCATAGCGCATGTTATTGGGGGAAACGGGAGCAAACCCACACAAACAAGGGTAGAACATGCAAACTCCACACAGAAACGCAATATAATAATAATAATAATAATAATAATAATAATAATAATAATAATAATAATAAAATCTAAAATGTTACATCAATTCGCCCAAACTGCACTAACAAAACATAATTTTCCAATGTCAATAACTTATAAGTTTGACACTCAGTGGTTGTCAAACTTATATTGCATTGATTGAGGACCGAAAGGAGCGAGTCTGATGATGGAGCCTAAAGGCTGATTTAAATTGTGTTCTAAATGAAAGCCAGCAATAGAAGTAATACTTTTCTGTTAAAAGGAATTTATGATCTAACTAACTCCTCGAATTGATATATTAGAAATGGCTTCTACTTCTTGCAGCTAATCAACAGAAAACTGACAATGATCACCTCAGGCACACCTTACGTGCTTTATTCAGTGTTAAATGCTAATAATGTGAGTTTGAATGCCATTTTACATGACATTTATTGCCATACTACTAAAAGCAGCAGCAGATAGTTCACCTTAGATCTTGAAAATAAAATAAACTGTTTGAAATTGAACTTTAAAACTGTGACAAGCCAACACACATCAGTGATTCAGCATCTACATTTAATAATGTTAAAGAGGTTTAATATGTATTAGACTATAAATCTTAACCTTTCATGAGACAGTGCATATCCTGTGCTTCTGAATGGCTGTATTTAATTTCTGTCATGTTTCGTCTAGTGCAAAAAGCCAAATTGCTTATCACTGCAAATCTTGTCCCATAGCTTGTTGTTGGGTTACAATGTTTGAACCTGTGCACCTCATGTTTATGTTAGTGACATTTATATTATTTGCTAATTACTAACCTCATGTGGAACTCTGAATCTACGTCTCATTTCGAAGTCTGCTACTGTTGACCGGAGGTCGCATTTCGGTCTCAGACGCATGCTTTCAGAGCCTTTTTGAATTAATTAATGAAATACACAATTTTCCAACAAGGCAACCTGGAGTGCTGAAAAATAATTGGCTAAAGTGCTCATTAAGTGCTCATAAAGTTAAAAGAACCAAAACAAAGATGGAAGTTTTGGCACATAACTCACATTTTCAATGCAGAATATCTGACTTCAGGATAGTTTTTCAGATTAACAAGAATGTTTACTTGGCATCTTTTTGGGAGTCGGTTCAATTGCATTTTAAGACCTCTGAAACACGGATTTAATAATAATTCCTTACATTATCATAGCGTTTTCTGGACACTCAAAGCGCTTTACACATTTTTGGGGGGGGATCTCCTTATCCACTACCAGTGTGCAGCATCCACCTGGATGATGCGATGGTAGCCATATTGCACCAGACCGCACACCACACACCAGCTGATTGGTGGAAAGGATTTTATGATATAAAGGAAATTATAATATGGGGATGCTTAGGGAGCCATGATGAACAGAGGCCAGTGGGCAATTTGGGCAGAATGCCAGGGTTACACCCCAACTCTTTTTCGAAAGACATCCATGGGATTTTTAACGACCACAGAATGTCGGGACCTTGGTTTAACGTCTCATACGAAAGACCGCGCTCACTGAGCATTATATAGTATATTAATATACTATAAAGCTCCATTATTATACTGGAGCGTTAGAATCCACAGTTTTTTTCCTTCTGTTCTGCTTTCTTGTAGGAAAAACAAATACTATAAAAGTCAATGGCTACAGGCTTCCAGCTTTCTCCAATAAATCTTGTTTTGTTTTAAAGGTAAAAATTCAAATGTAACCAGTGAAGGGTGAGTAAATAATGACAGAATTAAAATTTTTTGTGCGAACTACTCCTTGAACATGCTATTCCTGGACCAAATATAAAAGATAATCAAAGACAAGAGTGTTCTTTTACCACATCATTGCATTTTATGAGCCATCTTGTCCACTCCATTTTGGTGCCAAGACATGTCACTTCGATTGACTGACTGTGCTAAAAGGCTTTGATTGTGTGTAAAAGCACTGCTGCGTGAAACTAGTTAATGGTTCAGAGTCCATGGTGTTAACTAATAAACATATAACCTACCAGTTTGAGAAAACAGCGGTTATGATTTTGCAGCTTAGTTACAGCCAATGAAACAAGATGTCATAATCCTAAATAAACAAACATATCAGGCTCATGATGAGTAAATATACATTTATGGGGCCTAAGGGAGTCCTTCGAGTGGAACACTATCAATGTAGTGCAGAAGACACAAATCACCCAGGGATCAGAGGAAAAAACAAGCCTCATTCTGCCAAGATCATTATTTTGGCAGCTAGAAGCAGCACTCTGAAGAACAAAAGAGCAGAAATGGTGCTGATCTTCACTGGTTTAACATTAAAATGGCATATTTAGGGGAATAAAGAAAAGTGTTTTGGTGTTTGTTTTAGCAGACTAACACAATTGTATATGCATGCACCTTCAAGAAAAAAACATGACTCACAGTATAAACTGATGCAATTATATCTACAACTGTATGATCTTTTGTTTATTATAAAAGAGAGAAAGAGGGGAAGAGAGAGAGAGAGAGAGAGAGAGAGAGAGAGAGAGAGAGAGAGAGAGAGAGAGAGAGAGAGAGAGAGAGAGAGAGAGAGAAAGAGTGATTTAAGTTTATTGCTTCAATGGCTTCCACATAGAAATCTGATATATAGCAATACATGCAAATTACATAGACGACAAGCAAGTTCAGATTTGGAATTCCCACATGTAAATTTTCAACATATATTTCAAAATTTTACAAAAATGAACCAGTGGAATAGCAAATATGTACATATATATATAAGAGCTAATTGTATGTTCATATATGGCCATGTATGCAGTAAGAACAATTACAGATATAACTCCAATGTAACAAAAAATATATATATTTAAGTGGCCATTTTTGCAACATTTCAAAATATATATTGAATACAGTGCATCTAGAAAGTACTCATAGCGCTTCACTTTTTTCACATTTTTAAATGTTACAGCCTTATTCCAAAAATGATTAAATTAATTTAATTGCTTATAATTCTACACACAATACCCCATTATGACAATGTACTGTCCTCAACATACTGTCCCTTAGTGATTGTTTTGACAGTTAGATAAACTCCCTTCCCTCACACGACTCTGAAGACAAGAAACTCATTTGCCAACAGGTTTAATGGTCTTGGGTATGGAGTGAAACTACAATAAAAAACAATAGGATACATAAATAATATGTCCACAAGTTAACAAAACTACAGAAGCATAGCTTTTACATGAAATACAGAGTGCTTTGTAGTAAATAATATCTTCTCTTATGTAAATACAAAATACTGAAATATAAAGCTAAAGCAAATTGTGGCTAATGTATTAGCTCTGCCGATAAGCTAAGAAGTCACTCTTGAGCTCAATTATTCATAAAACATACAATATAATGAACACCTTATACAATCAAAAACGTACTTACAAGCGATGCTGTTGCAAGGGTTAAGATTACAGAAAAACATGACGATTGCTGATCATCGTAGTCATTGCCGTGTGCTTGCAGCACTTTACTTCCTGATTTTAAGTGAACAGCAGGATCTACCTTGCTATAACTCAAGGTCACCACTAGATGGAACACTAACCATTTACAAAATGAAACCAAATCACTACTTAAAAGAATTACCCTTGCAATACACAATAATTATCTTGCCAATCAAAGATTAAACATTATTTCTGCTTTCATCAAATATGTTCCAGCACACTCCCCGTCTGGCGTGGTAACATGCCACTATTTACAGATCCTTAAATTTAGTCAAGTTTTTCTGGTGTAAGAAGAAGGATAGTTTTTGTGATGGGGCGTATGAACATTTTTGGTCCGTCCTTTTTAAAGACCTTGACTTCTACCGTGCGAACCTTGTTGTCTTTGCTTGGAAAAACTTGAGTGACAAGTCCCATTGGCCATTCATTTCTTTTTTGTTGTTCATCCTTCAAAAGCACAATGCTTCCCAATTCAAGATCAGGTTCACTGGATGGCCACTTTCTTCTTGGTTGTAGAAGAGTTAGGTACTGCTTTTTCCATTTATCCCAAAAGGTTTGTGCCAAGTGCTGTACCTTTCGCCACTGTCTGATATGAAGATTTTTATCCACATCAAAAGTTGGGGCTGGAGCAATTGTGACCTTTTGGGTTAAGAGTGCACTGGGTGTTAGTATGAATGGATCATTTGGGTCAGACGACACTGGAACGAGTGGCCTTGCATTTATTATTGCAGTGACTTCTGCCATAAGAGTGGAGAGCATCTCATGTGTTAATGCTGAAGGTCCAAGCTGTTGAAGCATTGCATCTAGTATCCTTCTAGCAAGGCCTATCATCCTCTCCCAGGACCCACCCATATGAGAAGCATGTGCCGGGTTAAATTGCCACACACAGCTCTGATCCAAAAGGAACTTTTCTACGGAGGTTTTGTCAATGTTAGACAAGATGTTGAGCTCTCTGCAAGCTCCAACAAAATTTGTTCCTCTGTCTGAGCGAATGAGTTTCACAGGCCCTCGGATAGCAAGAAAACGCCGCAAGGCATTAATGAAACTAGATGTATCTAAAGATTCTATAAGTTCAATGTGTACAGCTCTCACGCTTTGACAGGTAAATATCACGGCCCACCTTTTGCTTTGTGCATGGCCACCTCTTGTTCGCCGCGCCACCACATCCCATGGTCCGAAGACGTCTAGTCCCACATTTGTAAATGGAGGATCCATGGATACACGATCTGCTGGTAGATCAGACATTTTTTGAGTCTGTGGTGTTGCTCTGAGTTTTCGGCAAGTAACGCATTCGTGAATGACACTGCAAACCTTCCTCTTTCCACCCACTATCCAGTAGCCAGCAGCTCGCACAGCACCCTCCGTATAGTGTCGCCCCTGGTGTCGCACTTTCTCGTGATGATGTTTAATCAAAAGTGTTGCAATGTGATGTTTGCCAGGGATGATAAGGGGATTTTTTACATCACCCTCAATCTGTGCTTCTGTTAATCGACCTCCCACTCTTAGCAGACCATCTACATCTATGAAAGGGTCTAAAGCTTTGAGGGAGCTTTGCTTAGAGAGCTTATTTCCCGTTTTCAAACTCTCATACTCTTGAGCATATGTCTCTTGTTGCACTGTTTTAATAATAATTTTTTCAGCACATAAGAGTTCCTCTACTGTAGGCGCATTAAGACAGTAATGCCAGCCCTTGCAGCCTGATGTCTGAGTTGTAGAACCTTTACAGAATTGCCGTGATATATGAAGAAGGCGTGCTGTGCCATGAATGCTAGATTTCCAGGTAGAGAACCTGGAAAATCGTTGTGCTCCAAGACTCTTATTCCTCAATGCAGTACTCAGTGTGGAGACTTCAGGACGTAGCTCTGCATCAGAAGAAGGATTTACAAGCTCAAATTCGTTCTTTTCTTGTGTGCAAGGGTTGTTTAACAGAAAGTTTGGTCCACAAAGCCAATCAGTGTTTTGAAGATGAGCAGCAGTAACATACCTTGTTGCAATGTCTGCTGGATTTTCTGTTGTGCACACATACTTCCATTGACTTGGGTGAGTAGACTTGCGAATCCGAAGGACTCTATTGCTGACATATACATAGAAACGTCGTGATTCGTTGTGTATATATCCTAGCACTACCTTACTATCTGTAAAGTAAGCAATGTCATCCAAATGCATGTCAATTTCTGAAGTAATGAATTCTGCCAGTTCCACTGCCAAAACTGCAGCACACAACTCAAGACGAGGAATTGTTTGTTCTGGGCTGAGTTTTGCCTTACCCATGACGAAGCCGAGCTGACTGACTCCAAACGAATCTGTCAATCTAAGGTAAGCAACTGCAGCTATTGCTTTTGTTGAAGCATCAGAGAAGATGAACAACTCCCTTTGAGTGGCTGTAGAAGGTGATATATTTGTGTAGCATCTTGGAATGTTTAGATTTTTCAAATCAATCAGTGATTGTCGCCACGTTTCCCACTTTTCCTCCATTTCTTTGGGAAGGGGCGCATCCCAGTCATCATTCTGATTATTAAGTTCTCTCATGATCAGTTTACCTTGAATTGTTACTGGGGAAACAAACCCAAGAGGATCAAAGATGCTATTGACAGTTGATAATACACCTCTGCGAGTAAAGGGTTTTGCTTGTGTGTCGATTTTGAATGTAAACGTGTCCGTTCGCAGGTTCCAGTTCAATCCCAGACTGCGCTGTGTCGGAAGCATGTCAGAACCAAGATCCAAGTCTTTGATTTCACTAGCATGATCTTGAGATGGGAAGGCCTTTAGAACTTCTGTGCTGTTCGAGGCTATCTTATGAAGCCGTAAATTGGAACCAGCAAGAATTCTCTGCGTGTTTTTGAGCAGATCTATTGCTGCTTTTTCTGTCGGAAGTGACTTCAATCCGTCATCTACATAAAAGTCACGATTCACAAAGCTTCTTACATCAGGGTCACCATCCTTAACAGACTGTCTGAGACAGTAGATGGCAACAGCAGGTGAAGGGCTGTTCCCAAATACATGGACGCGCATTCTGTACTCTACAATGTCCTCTGATGGGTCATTATTACGAAACCACAGAAACCTTAGGAAGTTACGGTCGTCTTCTCTCACTAAGAAACCGTAGAACATTTGTTCAATGTCAGCTGTTATAGCTACGGCTTCCTTGCGAAATCGCATGAGCACACCGACAAGCGTGTTGTTCATATCTGGCCCAGACAATAGAACATCATTCAATGAAACATCCTCATACCGAGCACTGGAATCAAAAACCACTCTTATGTTTCCTGGTTTTTTAGGGTGGTACACCCCGAAGAGTGGTAAATACCAGGATTCTTCTCGTTCTAACAGCAGGGGGGCTTCTTCTGCATATTTTTTATCGAAGATTTTGTCCATGAATGTGAAAAAGTGTTGTTTCATTTGTGGGTTTCTCTCTAGATTACGTCTCAAGATTAACAACCTTTTCAAGGCTTGACATCTGTTGTTGGGGAGTCTGCACCTTGGAACTTTGAAAGGCAGCGGAGCTATCCAGCTATTGTTTTCATCTCTCTCCAATCCTTGTTCCATAATTTGGAGAAATGTCAAGTCATTGATAGATGGGGCCACTTTATTGTCGTCACAAGTAACCTTGAATACGTCCTTGCCCAACTGATCATGTTCGCGATTGCAGATAAGTTGTTCCATAGAACAAATTCCATTATCATTTTTCTGCTCATTACTTTTCCTCCCTTTTACACAGAAAACATTAGGACAGGAATCAAAGATAGAAGGACGTTGTTCCTTTGTGTAAGTGAAGAAGGTACTCACAGCTGTAGACTTATGAATGCCATTTAGACAAACATTGCCAACTATCACCCATCCCAAGTCAAGTTTCTGTGCATAGGGAGCATCATTGGGACCATTAACTTGACTGCGCACTTTATGAACTCTGATGATGTCACGGCCCAGAAGCATCATGATGGGAACGTCTGGCTCCAATTCTGGTATGAATGAAGCTATAGGCTTCAGATGAGGGTGATGGAGAGCAGCACTTGGTGTGGGAATTTCTGCCCTATTGTCAGGAATGTTGTTACATTCAAGCAAACTTGGTAGAGAAAAGACTACTTTCCCATCCAAAGACTGCATTTGATATCCTGATGCTTTTCGACTAATGATTTCCGTCACTCCAGAACAAGTTCTCAGGGTGTAGGGAGTAGCTGGGGTATTTTCTTTGAAAGCATCAAAGAATTCAGAGCGAGCTAATGACCTGTTGCTTTGCTCATCGAGGATCACATAGACTTTCATTGCTTTTTCAGGTTGACCTTTGGGATACACTTTTGCCAAACTGATTTTTGAGCATGACTTACTGCTATGGTCATCTCTGCAAACCTCAGTGCAATGAGCCTCCACTTCTTCTAGTGACGTAGAAACTTGCTCCCCGCCATGCAGCGGTAAGGATACAGTTTCTTGAGCTTTTTGAACAGGACCAGGGTGTAGTGCAGAAATATGCTTCTCACTTCCACACTCAGAACATTTCGTAACAAATTTGCAGTTCTTAGCAATGTGTGTAGTAGCTATGCAACATTTGAAACAGATGCATTTTTCTTTTAGAAATGCATAACGTTCCTCTAAAGGTTTCTCACGGAAAGAACGACAGTTCCTAAGTAAGTGAGGTTTGTTGTGAATGGGACAGAGTTTCTCTGCATCCACAGATTTTCTTTCATCTTTATCTGTGTCTAAATGTACAGGGGTAGACACATTCATCTTATTAACTGAGACTTCTCTTGATTTGTTTGACTTCCAGCTAGATTTCTCTGTTTTGTAAACTGAATCTGTTTGAGTAAAGAAGTTGAAACCTGGGTCATTCCTGATTCTTGCTTGCTGACTTATGAAGTCAACCAAGACCTCAAAGGGGGGGAAAGAGACACCATATCTCTCTTTGTAACCAGCTCCATATGACAGCCACTTTTCTTGAAGATTGAATGGCAACTTTTGTATTATGGGATTGATGCCTTTTGCTGTGTCCAGATATGTTAAGCCTGCAAGGTATCCATCAGCTTTAGCTGCCTCTATTTCCATGAGAAGATCACTTAATTCATGAAGCTTTGAGTAATCTCTGCTTGAAATTCTTGGAAAACTTTCAATGCGCCTGAAAAGAGCTCTTTCGATTACTTCTGGTGCACCATAACATTCCTCCAGTCTAGTCCATATCATGTCAAGGCCTTTCAGTGGTTGATTAATGTGCACTGATCTCATGCGTTTAGCGTGTTCAGCTGATTCCTTTCCTAACCATTTGACTAACAAGTCCATTTCCTCACTAGCTGTCAAATCCAGGCCACCTACTGCATTTTGGAAAGACCGTTGCCAAGCTCTGAAGCTTTCTGGCTGGTCATTAAACTGTATTAATCCAGTATTAACAAGTTCACGGCGAGCAAAATATCTGACGAAGTCTGAAATATCTGTTTTGTCTTTTACACTCTGAGGCATTTGACTTGTCGTTGAGACAGGGGGTATGTGGCTTTGTGTGAAATGTGCCCTCCGTCTGTGTACTTCGCTATCTGTTGGGTCATGAAGATGGTACCTTCTTGGTGTAAACTGTGATGCTTGTACAGAATCTCTCCTTGATTGCATGTGATAGAATTCAGCATCGTCTGAACAACTCTCTGTCTTGAGACGTGTATCCGGAACAGAATTTGTAACTAGTAATTCTGTGTGAGGATTTACTGTCTCTGCGGAAGGGAGTGGTTCTGGTTGTGATGCCAATTCTGTAGATGCATGTAGATTCATCTGTTCAATATATTCACTTGTTCGCTGCATAACATCGGCTGGAGTGGTTTCCAGTTGAGGCTCATGTTTACTATGAACACTGGTGTTAGCTGCTGCTTCTAAAACTTCTGCTTCAGCTACAGCTGCAGCAGTTTCTCTCTCTAAAGCCATTTTATCAATTTTTGCCTCCAACTTGGCTTTCTCCACCTTTATTTTTTCTTCTTCATCTGCAAACTTCAAACGTGCTTTAGCTGCTTCCGCCTTTGCTCTAGCCATAGCAGCTGCAGCACTTGTAGAAGAGCTGCTCGATCTTGAACAAGATGCATACGATCTGGTTTTATATGAGTGTGTAGACTCCATTGTGCACTTGATACTCTTATCAATTTACTTGAATCTTCATAACTGCTGCTGTACTCTCTTCTTGCAGCCGCTTTTTCACTGTACTGTCCTCAACATACTGTCCCTTAGTGATTGTTTTGACAGTTAGATAAACTCCCTTCCCTCACACGACTCTGAAGACAAGAAACTCATTTGCCAACAGGTTTAATGGTCTTGGGTATGGAGTGAAACTACAATAAAAAACAATAGGATACATAAATAATATGTCCACAAGTTAACAAAACTACAGAAGCATAGCTTTTACATGAAATACAGAGTGCTTTGTAGTAAATAATATCTTCTCTTATGTAAATACAAAATACTGAAATATAAAGCTAAAGCAAATTGTGGCTAATGTATTAGCTCTGCCGATAAGCTAAGAAGTCACTCTTGAGCTCAATTATTCATAAAACATACAATATAATGAACACCTTATACAATCAAAAACGTACTTACAAGCGATGCTGTTGCAAGGGTTAAGATTACAGAAAAACATGACGATTGCTGATCATCGTAGTCATTGCCGTGTGCTTGCAGCACTTTACTTCCTGATTTTAAGTGAACAGCAGGATCTACCTTGCTATAACTCAAGGTCACCACTAGATGGAACACTAACCATTTACAAAATGAAACCAAATCACTACTTAAAAGAATTACCCTTGCAATACACAATAATTATCTTGCCAATCAAAGATTAAACATTAATTCTGCTTTCATCAAATATGTTCCAGCACAGACAATGTGAAAAAAAGATTTTTTGAAATTTTTGCAAATTTATTAAAAATAAAAAACCTGAAAAATCACATATACAGAAGTATTCACAGCCTTTGCTCAATCCTTTGTTGATGCCCCTTTGGCAGCAATTACAGCCTCAATCTTTTTGAATATGAAGCCACAAGCTTGGCACACCTGTCTTTGGGAGTTTTTGCCCATTCCTCTTTGCAGTACCTCTCAAGCTCTATCAGGTTGAATGGTAAGCGATGGTGTACAGCCATTTTCAGATCTCTTCAGAGATGTTCAATTGGATTTAGGTCTGGGTTCTGGCTGGCCACTAAAGGACATTCACAGAGTTGTTGTGAAGCCGCTTTATTGATATTTTGGCAGTGTGCCTTGGTTCATTGTCCTGCTGGAAGATAAACCGTCGCTTGGGGATGAGAAGTGCCTGGTTTTCTCCAAACGTAACTCCAAAAAGTTCCATTTTAGTCTCATCAGAGCAGAGAATTTTGTTTCTTATGTTCTGAGAGTCCTTCAGATGCCTTTTGGCAAACTCCAGGCAGGGACTGGCTTCCGACTGGCCACTCTACCATACAGGCCTGATTGGTAGATTGCTGTACAGATGGTTTTCCTTCTGTAAGGTTCTCCTCTCTTCACAGAAGAACGTTGGAGCTCAGACAGAGTAACCATCAGGTTATTGATCACCTCCCTGACTAAGGCAGGAACCTTTCATTGGAACTTTTAGAGCAACAGAAATTTTTCTGTAACCTTCCCTAGCTTTGTGCCTCGAGATAATCCTGTCTCAGAGGTCTACAGACAATTCCTTTGTATTCATGCTTGGTTTGTGCTTTGACATGCACTGTCAACCCTGGGTGTCACGGTTGTGGATCCATCTGCTCCTTATTTGAAGTGTCTGCGTTGTGTGACAGTTCAGTATCATGATGCGTGTTTCTAAGTATGTGTGCTTTTTCTCTCTGTGTTTGTGTGGGTGTCGCGTGGCTGTCAGTGGGTGTTTGTTTTCATGTCATCAGCTGAGCGGTCACATGATCTTTTGTTACCGGAACTGTTGCGTAGCGCGCTCGGCTGATAATCAGCGCGCTACAGGTGTAGCGCATTTTATGTGCCTATAAATGATCAGCGTTACTGTCTCACTTTGTCAGTTCGTTGTTTGTTCACGGTGTTTTGTGTTTTTGTCAGGCTCCTCCCGTTGAGATCGCTGGTGGTGAGTGGTTTGGTTGATTCCTTGTTGCTGTCTCTGATGAGCCCTCTTCCTGCTACGCTGAGTGTTTGATCTGCTCTGTTGATGAGTTCATCGGAGACATTGCTGTTTCTTCTACGACGAATGTTTGATCTGCTCTGTTGATGAGTTTATGAACATTTATCCGGCGCTGCCGAGACGGACCATCTCTTTAATTACTACTACAGTTTCCTCACTTCCAACCACTCACCATTTTCCCTGTTTTGCTTAAGTCAAGCAATAAAGACTTTTTACTTGCATTTGGGTTCCACGTCTTGTTGTTTACTGTCACACTGGGACCTTATATAGACAGGTGTATGTCTTTTCAAATCATGTCCAATCAACTGAGTTTACCATAGGTAAACTCCAATTAAGCTGCTGAAACATCTCAAGAATGATCAGTGGGAACAGAATGTACCTGAGCTGAATTTAGAGCTTTTTAGAGCAATTTAGAGTACATAAGGCTGTGAATACTTATGTACATGTGATTTTTCCGTTTTTTTTTTATTTGTAATAAATTTGCAACACTTTCAAAAACTATTTTTCCACATTGTCATTATGGGGTATTGTGTGTAGAATTTTGAGGAAATAAATTAATTTAATTAGTTTTGGAATAAGGCTGTAACATTTAAAAATGTGAAAAAAATACTTTCCGGATGCACTAAACATGACATTTTTACATGTGTGAGTATATTTTCATGTATCAGGTTTCTATATTGGCTATTTTCAAGACAAAACCATATTTACAAACAAGTTAGAACTAACACTTTTCCATTTAATTCTTAAAGAAATAATTCCTTCAAAGTATCTGCAGATAAAAAAAAAATGTTTTAAGTAGAGATGAAAACTGTGATTTGTACTGAATGATATATGATAAACATAAATGGTCATATTGCGAAAGCTTAGATGTGAAACAAAAGAGAAAATAAATCCCAATAAAAAGTGAAAACTACAAATTAGCAAGTGCAAATAAACATATATTATTTGAGTTTTTAAGTTGCATTCAACAAGCTTGGCACAGTGTGTAATATACTTGGCAAATACTGTAACTTAAAAGTGCTGTATGTAAGTTTTTGACTTTTCTAAAGTATAAAAACACCATAATAATATGCAGATATTCTGTTGTGAAAATCTGTGTTACGTTTGTTTTGGTCGTTTAACCTGCCCAATGCTGGTTTAGTAAATTATATTTCAGCACTCTGAATTCCCTTTGTGGAAAACAGTGCATTACAGCACCACTCTCTAAGCATGCATCCGTGATCGAAACGTGACCTCCGGTGGACTGTAGCAGACTCCGAAATGAGACGCAGATTCACATGAGATGGTTATTAATTACAAACATACACAATAGGTGAGCAGGTTACACTGTAACCCCGTGTCCTAACAACAAGCTGAGTGAAGAGATTTGCAGTAATAAGCAATTTGGCTGTTGGCACCAGACGAAACACGACAGAAATTTAAATATAGCCATTCAGAAGCACAGAATAGTTCTCTTATTGCACTCAACAAAATGATAAGGTTTTTAATCTAAGTAATACATATTAAACCTCTTTAACATTATTAAATGTACATGCTGATATGTGTTGGTTTTGAGTCACAGTTCTAAACTTCAATTTGAACGTTTATTTTAGTTTTTAAATCTGAGGTAAACCATCTGCTGCTTTCAGTAGTATGACAATAAATGTCTAGTAAAATAGTATTCAAACTCACATTGTTAGCATTAACCACTGAATAAACCACATGAGGTGTACCTAAGGTGATCATCGTCAGTCTTCTGTTTTTCAGCTGCAAGAAATAAAAGCCGTTTCTAATATATCAATTCGAGGTGTTGGTCAGAACAAAAACTCCTTTTAACATGGAAAATAATCCTTCTATTGTGTGCTGTTGCTTTTATCTAAAACACGGTTTAAATCAGCCTTTAGGTTCGATAGTCAGGCACACTCCTGTTGGTGTATATATATATATAAATATATAAATATATATATATATAAATATATATATATATATATATATATATATATATATATATATATATATATATATATATATATATATATATATATATATATATATATATATATATATATATATATATATTTATATATTTATTTATTTATTTTGTAGTACAGTTAGCGGTGGAGCCAGAGAGGCAATTGCAGATTAGGAAGGAAAGTGGAGACTAAATAGTTGAGCTTTTATTCATTTCTTGAAGAAAGCGAGTGACTGCTGTTCTGATGCAGTTAGGGAGTTCATTCTACCAACTGGACAGATTGAATGTCAAACTTACATACTGCACCTATAATATTTGTACATGCAGTCTGTCAATCTAAGCCCAAATTAGTTCTGATTTAACATGTTACTTGATCATTCCAACCTTGTGACAAGAAACCAGGCAAGTTGTGTGAAGTCTGGTGAAATCCTCATGTAGGTTTTAATGTGAGGCATCGCGTTGCTCCTACCAGTAACGTCAGCATGCCAGCCACTGTTTAGAAGACAGATATTGAAGGGAAGGAGAGAAAGAAAAGAATGAAACACCTGCTGATATATCTTTCCTAAGCGTGAGAACACCCAAAGAATCGTTTCGTGCCATTTGCAGGTGCAGAGAGCTGGTGTTTTAGGGCAGACTGTGCAGACTGAGAGGAGAGCTTTCTGTCTGATTGCTGTCAGTATTCAGACATGAATGCAAAAAATCTACATGGACTCATTTAAACAGACTGAGTGTAGAGTGCGTACTCCAGAGGGAGACTAAGATTGAATCTACATTGCAATATGCCCATCTACGATCACTTAGCGAAATTGAGGCCACCAGCAAAATAGCTTATTTATGGCGATAATGTCTTAAAATGGTGGGCGCGATGGGATAAGAACCCAATTGAAATTTCTATGGAGCATTGAAGGGTCAGACAGCTCTTGGGGAAAGGCAGCTGTTTAACTCACAAAGTCTGAGGAGCCTTTTTTTATAGTTGCATTTTAAAATGACAGAATATTGATGAGAATATTGTTAAAACAGAGAAAGAGAAAGAAGAACTTACTGGAAGTAAGAATGAAGCCAGAGCTGTTTTTGTGCCGTCTGTATGCTGTAAGGTAAAGATCCTCCAGCTGAAGGGATAAGAGAACTAGAAATGTCAGTTGTCATATAATGACTGGAGGTGATGTTTTTTTATTTTAGAATAAAAGAATGAATGATACCTGGATAGCCCTCCAAACTGGTTCTCACATTTTCCACAGATGGGTAAATCTAGAAATGACAAGATTTTAAGGAGTTGTCACATTTTTATATTCATTTATCCATAAATTTATTTAAATTATTGGTTGATCCATCTATTTATTTATTTAAAGGGTTAGTTCACCCCAAAACTAAAATTTTGCAATTGATTACTCTCCCTCGTGTTGTACTAATCACCTGAGACCTGATTATCGGAATAGAAACTAACATAATTTAGATGAAATCTAAGAGCTCCCACATCCTCCATAGACAGCAACAGGTGTTTAAAGTCCAGAAAAGAACCAAAAACATTCTATGTGACTTAAGCGGATCAACTGTAATCATACAAATCTCCAAGAACATTTTTTGTGAAATTTTTTTTTTTTTAAATAAAATAAAAAAAAAACCCTGTAAAAACAACTTTGCTTTTCAATGCCGTCTCTTCCTCATCAGAACCGCATGTACTACATGAAATACAACGCTTGTGCGTTGTGCTCCTGACTCTAATGGCAATATGTTGTACTGCTTAAAGTAAATGTGCACCTTGACCACTTGACGAGGAAGAGAAGATG